AAAAAGTTAAGACTACCAGATTTTACTTCCTGTGTTTGCAGTTTGGTCTGTTGACTCGGCTCATGTGACTCAGTGCATGTGAGGTAATGGTCTGGATATGCAATTCTTTAATTTAGTCTATACCTACTGCAACCAGAATTTTAAATAATATATGTATATGAAGAGTTTATTTGCAAAAACAGATATTTTTTATTGTTTGCTTGAGATAAAACCAATCAAACTGAAGCCGAGTGGATTCAACTCAGTAGAAATGACAAAAATGGAGATGACTCAAGTTTGATTGATGTTGTCTCAGGTAGACGATGGAAAAGTGGGTTTTCTGGAGGTTTGCGAAGATGGAGTTATCTGTTTTTGTGGGTATTGCCCACCGTGGGGCAAGAAATGTGAACCGCAAGAAGCAGCTCAGTACCTGCAGTCTGCAAAAACACTGGAGTTATAAAAAGGGACGGAGAATTATGGAGTAACCTTTTGAAGAGGGCAGCGCTATGAGGGAACGGAGAAGTGGTGGAATGGGAGCCAGAGAGGTGAACAAAGACCATCTTTAAGGCAACAGAAAACACGTCGCGAGGAAAATCATTTTGTTTGCTGAGAGCGGTGGGAAAAAGAAGGCATTAAACCTCAAATCAGTACGACGTACAGTATGTGAGTGTTGCCATCTCAGCCAGCGAGTGGGTGCCTGGCCTTTAGGTTCAGCTGCAGCTGCTCAGGGTGAGAGGCAGCAAATAGAAACTGAACCAGTAAATTGATTTGCTGGCAGAGAGAGAGATATAAGATACAGAGGGCAAGGTTCCAGTTCAGCAGCCGAAAATATGATTATTAAGCTGGTCGGTTTTGTTTGGTTGAACATTTTTGGGAAATGGGATTCTTCTCGTTCTCGCTGAGTTACATGAGGAGATTGCTACTACTACTCTCCTGCCTTCATATTAGCCTCGTTCATGCATATGGCCCCTTTTAGATACCTTGCTGGAAAAATATGAAAAGCCCACATAGCAGCAAAATGTATTAGATATTGACACTTTACTAAAAACATCGACATGAAGTGATGTTCAACAGCATCAATATGCACACTGAGAGATATCAAAGCGGCAGCATCCAGTGTGTATAATGCAAAGAACGATTGTAAATCAAAACTGCACCAGAAGAATATACATCAGAGGGAGAATCAGTCACAGATGATGTGTTTCTCAAATCCGATGCCCAGACAAATGAGTGTTGAAAGCTATATTTTTCTATTTTGTTTACAGCACAAAACAATCTGCCGTTGACCAAAGCGGACCACCTGACTGAACTTTCATCACACATATGCTTTTCTACAATTCCCAGTGATTTTAAGTGTACATCTGTGACTACTTTAAATGGGGGAAATGTCAAATAATTTACATAAGTTGACAAGTATGCTTAAGATGTGAAGCAAGAGCCAGCGAATGATTAGCTTAGCTTAACCTGCTGAACTGCAAATCCTCCTGAGTGGATGGGTTTAAAAGACATGTTATATTTGTTATTTTTTGCTAAAATCACCAAAATTACACCAATTATTAGACCTTGAAACCTTAAAAACAGAAAGAATCGTCAGATTTTCAACTGTCAAACGATCCTTGACCTAATCATGTGAGATTTCCAGTTTGCGTCATGAAAATGAACCAAATCCAAGCTCAAAATTGTGATATTTAATCAAAAATCACTTCTCTCATACATCTCTCATTTTTAAAAATTGCCAAAATAAATTGCTTGCACTAACCAGAGTCTGTAAAAATTTAAAAAAAAAAAAAATAATAATAATTCTGTGCTCTGAGACACAATCAAAAAGCCTGACTCACCTGTAACGAGCCGCTTTGTTTACACTGAGCAGATGGGAGATAAGTATGAAAACAAATTAAAAATTAAAAATACATTTAATATGTAGAGTCACCATTTCTTTCCAGGGCTGGTGGGCACTTGGAAAAAGTGGTGTATGTGTTGATGCTTTTGTTTTTGTTTTTTTCCTTCATTTTTTGCAAAAAAATTCCATTTCCACGTTTACTTATGGATTTATGGCATTAGAAATTCCCAAACTGGCAAACTATTCCCGTAACGTTGTTTGAATCTAGCTTTGGAGAAGGAAAATGTAGAGTTTATCTACATTAAAAAGCTGGAATAACAATTTAGCTGAGCTGTACAGAGTTGAAACGAGGACACAGCTAGCCTGGATTTGTTTAAAACAACTAAAGCAAGCTATCAGTGTCTTTAAAGATCACAAAATATGTCTTGTTTGTTTAGTTCCTCCATGAACCACAGCACAAATACGGCAAGCTGAGGTGTTATGTACTATTTTTTTTTTAGCTTTAGAGATCTTCGTAGGCAATTTTTACTTGAGGCAGAATGAGGCTAGCTGTTTGTAGCCTGTGTGCTAAGCTAGGCTAACCAGCTGGCTTCATACCACACAGATAAGAGAGAGTAGTATCAATCTGCCTCATGTAAAAATTGCCTACAAAACAGCCAGTCTGGATTTGTTTAAAGCTACTAAATCAAGCTATCAGTGTCTTTAAAGGCAAGCTGACGTGTTATGTTATGTTCGGAACTGGTTTTTTTTTTAGCTTTAGAGGTCTTGTAGACAATTTTTCCATGAGGCAGACTGAGGCTAGCTGTTTGTAGCCTGTGTGCTAAGCTAGGCTAACCAGCTGCAGGCTGTGGCTTCATACCACACAGATAAGAGAGAGTAGTATCA